TTCAGGATGGTGCAATGGGATGGGATGAAGGGAGCGGGGACATGCAGGCACAACGTCTGAGCTGGCTTGTCCATGGCTTGTGCTCTCACCGGAGAGACGGGGACATGGATAATTGGAGTTTAGCTCTGGTCTGGGACATTAATTGTGTTCTTGAAGACTGTTCTGCTGTTCTTGGAATGGTATTAAAAGGGGGAAAGCAATGGGAAGGTGTTCCCCTGGTTTGTGTCGTGGATGGATCCAGACATAGCCAAAAAAAGAAAAAAGAGGATCAGGCAGGATGATGATGCCAACAGGGAAGAATGCCAAATGGGCAGGTGGTTTTCAGAAGGAATACCTGTCCCCCTGTGCTGCCATCACCTTCCCAAATACTGGGTGGGTTCCTCTTCTTGTGTGTTTCAACCGCGTTGTTGCTTTCAGATGAAGAGTGTGGCCTTGTAAGACGATTTTTGCACATTTGGAAGGTGAAAGTCTTTCTTAATGGAGTCAATAGAATGAAAATAAATCAAACCCTGGATTTTTCTTGAGAAATGAGATTAAGTCAAACCCTCATGACTAGCTAAACATAACTTAAAAATAGCTCGACATTAAAGAGCTTTGTCCTTTTATCTGCTGACCCATAGCTCGCTTCTAGGTAGTAACATCAACGGGATATGGGAAAGCTTCTGCAGGCTGGAAGTGAGCCGCAGTGATTTGAGTTGATTGTTGTTATAAGTGTCATACGGAGAACACGTGCGATGCGCTGGGTGGTTTTTCCTCGGGTGAATGGGAAGCAAATGTGTGAGGCGTGGTCATCTCCTGCCTGGTGTGACAATGTCACTGTAACTTGTTTTATTTATTCATTTCCCACTGATAAATGACGCGGATGCAGCCTGGGTGGGTGGGGAAGGGAAGACAGGTAGCCCTGGCGCTGCAGAAGGTCGAGGTTAATGCTACCTCCAGCGTCCTAATGACAGATGGGAGGCAGAAACCTTCACGGAGTGGTGATTAGCGCGTGCTTTCCTTGGCTGAGCGTCCAAAGGATTTAAGAAGCCTGGGTATGATCTTCATAGCATCTGCATTTTTAAATAAATAAAATAAAAAAGCATGTATGGTTATATCGTTGAGCCTTTCAGCTGTTTTTCTTGACTATCTCCACTCTTTGAGCGGAGCACTGTCAGCTGCTTTGTTCTGGAGATGCGCGGGGGTAATCCATCACCGGGGGCTCGCGGGCGGGTGATGTATGAGCCCGACATATCGACCTGTGTTGCTTTGATGTAGAACTCATCAAGATAATGTTGGCAAGCCTTGTACAAAAGCAGCATGTTTGAAAAGTATTAAGATGAATTGATTCCTTGCTTAAGAAGTGTAAAAGGAAGACTAATGGCAGGCTGGGATGCGGCGGTTCTCCCGGAGCCGTGCAGCGTTGAGCGGTGCAGAGGGACGGGTGGGATTTCAGCTTTCCTCCCACTGCTGACAGCAAAGTGTCTGGCTCTGCTTTTCCCATTCTTAGGCATTAAGTCTTATTTTGTGATAGCGTATTTTGCCACTTTCAAAAGCAGTTTGGCCAGTCCTGAGACATAATGTGAGTGCTGCATTCTTTAAAGTCAGCTGTTGTTTCTTTTTTTTACTTGTTCTTCTATGAGTAGTCCTGATTTTTATCTTGTGGAGACATGCTGTGGCTGGTAATATTTAAAAACCATTTTAGAAGGGATGCTACGACTGAACCATTAGTTTTTAGTTCCCTCTTTCATCATCTTAAAAGCCACGAAGGGAAGAGACACTGGCACACCCAAGGCATCTCCTTGTCTGCAGGATCGCTTCCCTCGTTGCTTCTGGTGCTGTTCGTGGTTCCTTACAGGGGCTCTGCAGTCTGCCATCGCTTGGGAGATGCCATGGACTTATTTAGAGTAACCTGTGTGTCTGGGTGTTATTTTAGCCCAAATGTTCTAAAAGGATTAGGTTGAAAATGTCTGTTTAATACACCTGTTAATAAAATATCAGAATACTTTATAATATTTAATACATCAAAGCCTCTTTTGATATTTCTTTGTGGCTTCTAGAAAATGCACAGTTCCTTTCTTTCTCCCCTCTTTTTATTTTTGAAGGAAAAATCTGAACAAGCTCTCATTAGTGGCCCAGGGGTTGCAGAACTCTGTTATTAATATAGTGAAAATCAAGCTTGTGTTGGGTCTCACTGTCATGAGGAAGGGACTTGCCCCTCTTCCATCCAGAAGAGCGCGATGGTCTGGTGAACTCTGCCCACCGCTGCGGTCTTGGCAATGATCTTGCACTGCAGACTGCTTAATAATTTTCATTATTTTTAATTAAAGTTGAAGAAGTGCAGACTCCTGCTCAAATTAAGGTTGGTTGTGTTGCCGGAATGTGGTAATTACTTTAATTGATCACAAGATAGTTTCCTTGATCACCAATTAGACCAAATTACCGATCAAGTTTCAAGACGTGAAGAAATGTCCAAACTGATTTTCTGTAATAGTGTTTTCATATCTAATCAAACCTAAATATCTTTTCCTTCCAGAGCCAATTGTATTTTCCCAAAGAAAGGTTACGGCTCTACAAATATAAAGGTGATTCGTAAACAATAGCGTTCCAATCCATTTAATTAGCAAAGGAAGTATTTAGGACCTTAATGGAGATTGCGCTGGTGAAATTGCTGGGTAGAACTGTCGCTCATTTTCTTAGTGGGAGATACTTTTTTGTGTATAATTAAAATAAACGAAAATGCAAGAAGTACGTTGCTTTGGGTCGTGTGCAATGAGGGAGAACATCTCTGAGCGTGCAGGAAGGCGGCGTGTCTGCGCGTGCTTCGTCCCTCGCGGTGACACCAGATCACCTTGGCTGGGACAGCCGTGGTCAGCTGGAGCCGTGAGCAGCAGGACCTGTCCTGGGCAGGGTCCTCAGCTCCAGAATTAATTCCTTTTCATGATTCTGACAGCCCCAAGTTGAGCACTCTTCGGGGAAGATGCACAGTGTTAAGGGCAAGGTCTGCTTTATCCAGCTGGAGACTTTTTACCCACTGTGGGGAAGAGGCAGTGGGTTGGCGTGGTGCTCCACTGATGGGGAGGATTTGGTGGTCCAGTGATTGGTGAGGATTTGGTGGACCACTGATGGGGAGGATTTAGTGGTCCGCTGATGGGGAGGATTTGGTGGACCACTGGTCAGGGAGGATTTGTCATCACAAAGCGTGAAGGAAGGGCTGCAGAGCAGATGAATTTTGTAGACTCGTTTGCTTGCGTAGTTCTCTCTGCCTGCCTTCCATTGAGGCGATGATCGTTGTCACAGGGTCACTGAGCTGTTTGTGTGGTGTAACCTGTGTGTATACGTAGGTGGGTGAGTTCCTGGGATGGACAGACACTGGTAGAGCATCCAGGAACCTCGCAGGGCTTTTGTCAATTTAATGTATTTTTTCCCTTGCTGTCCTGTTTGTACAAAGGCAACCTAGTTGCAGATGCCCTGATGTTTTAAACTTTTGGGGACATTTCTGAGTATAGATTGCTGAGTTGGAAATGGCATTCCTATTAAGCCCATGAACATTCTCAAAACATGTAATCAAAACTATTAATGCAGAAATTTTCCAAATTGTTGCTCACATCTAATGCACAACTTGCAGCTTTCTGCTTCAAAGCGTGCTGCTGAAACGTTTGCAAATTTTTAAAAGTAATTGTTCACTTGAAGTAAAACTAAACCAAGCGAGAGCTTCAAGGGAAGTTAGATTTTCCCAAATTTTGGAATGCTCTTGGGTCAAAGAAAAAAAGCTTTTTAATTGCTGACAGTTTGGTGATTTCCAAATGACAAACCTCATTGGAATGATTTTCTCTGATTATAACATTTGCATTCATTTGACTGGCAAAGCGACTAACAAAGTCATACTTCATCCAGGCACCGATTCTTTTTTGTCCTCACTGAAAAACAGATTTCTTGACTGATTTTTTTTTTTTTTTTTTTTTTTTTTACTGAAAGGTTTTTGTAATTTAGGAGAGGAAAAAAGACTTGAAACTATTATCAACCATTATATGTTATTCATTGACCACATGTTTGTTTGAAACGGCCATCGCGTGGTGGAATGCGGGCTGTATACATTCTCTTCCATAAATTAGCACTAAAAAACTACCTAAATCAGGTAGGGTTTTGTTGAGCTTGTATTATAATACGAACCAGACTATAACGTGGATGTTACTTTTTCTTTGCACGTTAATTCGGGTCCTGAACCCCGATGGATGGAGCTCGGTATGAACAAAGCCCGCTGACTCAGAGGCGTGCTGCTCACGCACCAAGACCCTTCGGGCTCCGCTGCGTAATTGCGTTCTTGATTTACATGGACATTCTAATTTTCTTTATAATGCCATGATTTGCTTCTAAGTATTTTGGCAAAGGGCTGCTATTATTTACTTCTGGAGCCTGTGATAAAACCTGCGCCCTGGGGGAGCGTGCTGTGCAGAATAGAAGGGCAGAGGATCGGGAAACCTATTTTAACTCATTTTAAGGGAAAATATTTTCTCATATATATAAATATTTTTTGCAGAAGGGCAAGCCCACCTGCTGCCTTTGTCCCCCCCAGGAAAATAAATAGCAAAATAATGATGAGAAAATATGTGTTTCTGGGAGTGGTGTCCGTCTAGTACAGGAATACTGTGGCATGATGCTTAATTGGAAACGGCACATTTCCATGATGCCGTAAGGGATGAGGGGTTTGGGATGGATGTTTAAAATCACTGTTGGATGCTGAAGGTAAAATCATTGCTCTCGTGCAATGGCTTTGAATCCTGGGTGAGTAACACTGAGCAGAGTGATGTAGCGGGGTCTGAAGGGGATGATTTCGGCAGCCTCAGGAGATGCCTCGGTGGCGTGAGAAGGTGAGATGCTCCTTTGACCCACACAAACCCGAGGTGCAGCAATCTGGAGCTTCTCTAGGAGTGTCTGAGATGTTGGAGTGAATTTTGCAGATCCGCCGCCAGCCCTGGCGGGTGGAGGAGTATTTTCCTCTTTGCTCTTTTTCTCCTTAGGCTTTCGGGTTTATGACGCGCGTGGCTCTGCAAGCAGAGAAGATGAATCACCACCCGGAATGGTTCAACGTCTATAGCAAGGTACCGTGCTCACCAGCCTGGCGACAGGCGTGGCACCCTAGGGACCCCAAACCACTGGCCCATTCTCTTGGACTTTTTTTGTAGCTTGTATACAAGGAAGGAGGTAAGGGAATGGGAAGAGGTTGTGTCTTCTTAAAGAGATTGATATTTTAAAGACACATTGAGGTGTTTGTAGTGGTGATGTGGCCCCAGGAATCCAGCTCTTTGCAATTGTTTGCTACCGCTTGCGTCGTTTGGACCTGTCACTGCACCTCTCTGTCTGAGATCTGGAAATAAAATAGAAGCCAACCTGGATAAATGACTGGTTTGAAACTACTGAGCACTCACCAACTTTAATTCCTTTCTGTGCAAGGAGTCAGAAACCCAGGCAGCAGCAGACCATCAATGTGTAGATACCCAAATGGGAGCCCAGCAGTCTCAATTTAGATTTGATTTTTTAAAAAATGGTAGGCTCCTATGTCTCAACATAGCAGCTTATAAAATTTGTTTATAATATGACCCAACTGCTGGTGGTCTCACATTTGCCAGGGTTACAGGGTACACTGCAGCCGTCGAATGAAAGGCGCTGTGTGAAGGAGCAAATTATTGCTCTGCCTTTGTTTTTATTTCCTAATGCTTCTCGTTGCATTGTGTTGAGTTATTTGTTTTAGCATTTGGCAAATATATGGGTAAAAATATACTCAAAGGATGTGGACAAGCAGCCAGTAGCTGGGAACCACCACCCCCAGAGCAGGACATCCCCACCTCCCCCAACAGGGACATCCCAGCACAGGTTCCTCCTCATCGACCCTTTAGCTCACCCTGTTTAAGGAGACATTAAATGATCACCAAGTCCTGATCACCTACTCTTCATTATTTTCTTGGCTTTCCAGAACATTTAGAATTTATCTTTTTTTTTTTCCTCTTTTCCCAAAATCTCAGCCTAAGGCAAGACAAAGTAACGCCCAACTTGTCGTCTGGCTTAGTCTAAACAAACCCATGCAGGCAGCTGCGTCATAGCAAAATGCACCAGTCCGTTTGTTTTTCTTTTTGAAATTAATCTGCAACAAGCTTAACAATTTTTTCACCTTCAGGGTGCTGGTTTTTTGACAAAACACATGAGCCCCTGACTCGGCTCTTGGCAGCTTGGTCACTGGCCCAGGTTCTTGGTGAAACCGATCCGTGGAATTTAAATGTAAAGAATGAGTTATTTAATCAGACACCTCTTCTTGGATGAAACCCAAGAATGCGATGCCTGGTTTATTCTGCCGAGGGGCTCGCTTTGGTCAGGCTTCAGGCTCTGTTAAGCCTCCTCACCTACAACATCTTCTGGTTTAGGTGAGCAGGGAGCATCCCATAAAACCAGGTCCCTACAGAGTCCTTCTGTTCCTGATGAATTGCTGCTTGGCTTATGTGGCAGAGCTCAGAACGGCTTTGTGACCCTTTTCTTTTCCTTTTTGACAGGTTCAGATAACTCTGATTTCCCACGACTGCGGGGGGCTGACCAAGAGAGACGTGAAGCTGGCTCAGTTCATTGACAAAGCTGCCGCCGCGGTGTAACCGAGATGTAGAACGCTTTAATACAGTGTCCACCAATATTTTATATTTAAATGGTATCCCTCGTCCCTTGTAACCCTGATTTCACAAAACCCCTGAGACAAGACGTTCTGTAAAAACAGTGGCTGAGTTTTGTTGGCCTTTAAGACCTGAGGCTGAGACCCCTTTGGGTGCTGTGCTGCTCCTTTGCCATCACTGGCTCTGCACGAGGATGTACCAGATAAACCATCAACAAATAAGTTTTGAATAATCCTTTTCTAGAAACTAAAACAAGATGGAGTGAAAGCAGGAGCCCACCCGCATGTGTCAGCATTCCCCAAGCCCACGGGAGCGGAGGCTGGTGGCAGTGGCCGCGCCAGCCTGCCCTGTGCCCAGCCGTGTCCCTCCCATCGCTCTGCCCATCTCTGCACTTCAGACAGCGTAAGAGCAGCCAGGCTGGGACGGTCCCCTCTGGTTTGGTGCCTCCATCCCTGCCGGTGACCGGTGGCGAGCTCAGGGGACACTGGTAAGAGCAGCACAAGCAGCTGGTGGTGTTTCCTTGGCGCTGCAGCTCACCCAGCAGTTGTGGTTTTGTGTTTTGGTGTTTATTCTGTGCTCGTCCAATGGCTCTTCAAACCCATCTGTCCTTTTGGCACCTCCAGCCGAGCACCTATAGCCAGGAAAAGTCTTGCTGATGCTTGAGGACCATTCCCCATCTTGCTGAAATCTTTAGCTCTGGTCCAGCAAATACCAAAAAAAAATCCCAGTGAGCTCCCAGCACTTGCATCATTAAATGAAGCATGTGCTTAAGTGCTTGGCTGGGCCAGGTCAGTGCTCAGCACCCTGCAGGATGGAGCCGTTATTTGTGCTGTAGCGCTCCCGTACCTACCAGATCAGGGGGTAGCTTGGCCGGGCGCCCGGAGCACCGGCGAGAGCTGCCGGCGGTGAAGGAAGCGGCATTAGCAGGATTCTTGCTAAGCTGGGCTCGTACGGGGGCTGCGCTTGAATCTATGCCCCCCCCCTTTTTTTTTTTTTTTTTTTTTGTAGCTACAACTACTCATTGCAAACATTGTTCCAAGAGCTGCAGATCCCACTGATGAGGTTTAAAATAATTTCTTCCGTGGTTTCAAAGTCTTTGTTTTTATCCTATGATCCTCACCCAGACAGATTTCCCCTGCCGGCAGGGAGATTTCAGCCTCCTCAAGGCTTCTAGAAGGGCCTCTGGCTCCACAGCCCCGCTGCCCAGTGTCCCCAACGTGCCCCGTCATGCCCCGCGTTGACACCTCTGAAATGCCTGAGTGCATTGCTCGGATGTCACCGGCGGCACAGCCACCGGCTACCGAGAAGTGAGATCACACCGGTGCCAAAATCTATATTGGGTGTACACGCGAGGTGTGTGGTCTCTCAGATATTTGGGATGCGAAATGCCACGAGCTGCCGCGCAAGGATTCGTGTCGATAAAATAAGAAAGGTATTTTTTGTTAATCCTTAGCAAGTGCGCTGTCATGTGCTAATTGGTGGCAGGAAGCAAGATGCGCGGTGGTGGGGTTTGCTGTCAGTAACCCTGCTTGGGATATCGAGTTCATCCCTAAAGCGACCCCAATTCAGGCTCCGTGCTCCAATGTTCTTTGCTTACAAGTGCCTTTCCCCAGCGAAGGGGCGGATTTCCCTGATATGGTTTGAAAAAGTTGTGAGGAATGAATAAAACTAAAACAAACAACCAGGCTGGGATGTGTCCTCTTACTGGTGGGGAAGTGAAATGAGCCTCACCCAAAGTTTTGACAATGTCTGTAACAAACTGTGAAAACTCTGTCGCTGGAAATTGATATATAATGCGTGCACTTTGAATAAAACCAATAAAATCAAATTCCTCCTTTGTAATTTGTTTCTTTATTATTGTATATATGTGACAAGGCTGTTTAGTTTTAAGATAAATTCAAGATAAATAACATTGAGTTACTTGGGAGGTCTTTGGTTTAGAATATTGATATTTATTTACATACTCCGAGGGAAAAAAAAATCCCCAGCAACTGATGTAGCTGGGAGAGCTGCACTGTCCGGCGATGGCCCGGAGCCATGCAGCCGCAGTGGTTCGAGGATCCAGGATCAAGAGGTGGCTGTACACGGGGCAGGCTGGCGTGGCAGCTTGTGGGCGCTTCCCTGTTGTCCGTGACACGTCCCCAGCTCCAGGGTGCGGCTGGAGGGGTCACAGCATCCCCTGGGATGTGTCCATGCTGCTGTGCCGGTGGCTGCTGGAGCCCTGGGGGTTCAGCAGAGCGAAGACACAGGATGGATCCCATTGCACTGGGGTTTTCTGTTGGTTTATGTCCCCCAGATGACTTGGTCCTGGGTCAGGGCTGCTTGCAGCATCCCTGATTTTCAGTGATGAGACAATTTCAGGGTTTGCCCCGTGCCTGCTCCAGCATTGCCGTCCTGCTCAGCCTGCCAGGTCCTCAGCCCCGCTCTGCCTTTCCCTCATCCCTGAATGCTTTTCAATCGTGCAAAACGCAATTTTGAACACCTTGCACTTTCTGAAGCTGCTTCTAAGTGTGCACGCTCCTCTGGCCTCACAACCTCAGGTTAATGAAGGGATAGCCAATTAACTGAAGCTAGTGAGTTCTTCTGCATGAGTTCGTTTGTTTTTCACAATTGTTTGCTCCAAGAAACAAATATTTGTGGCTCACTCAGAGCTGTGCCTTGGGATTAGCCAAACGTGTGCGTCCTGGAACAAGTGCTCTCAGAGCATCCAGACTAGCCAGCATAGAGATGCTGACTAATTGAAATAAATTGGCAATCGCTAATAACCTTTCTCCTAAAGAATGAAGGACAAAAGCCAACATGGATGTGAGTTGTCCCACTGACATCAAAGGCTGTGTTTATGTAAGTGCTGCTCGCACTGAAGGTCCATCGCAGAGCCGGACCCTTTGGTGAGGAACTGACAGCTCCTTTGGAAAGAGCCCGGGCACGGCTGCCAGCGGTCCTCTGGGCAGAGCCTGCGTGGGATGCAGGGATGCTGGAGCCCTGGAAGGGTCCCCAGAAAGAGCAGAGCTCTGTGCTTGGGCTCCTGCACTGTTTCCAGACGAGTGGTGGGTGCATGGAGGAGGGTTCACCGCCCCAAAGCTCAAATGAACTCATTGTAGGAGTGCTCGGCGTTTTTCTGGGTCATCTCCCCGGGTAGGAGTGGGTGTATGCCTAAACCCCTCAGCAAACCCAGAAAATTAAAAATAATCAGCGCCTGCTTGTTATATGTCTAATGCAGAAATGTTTGTCCAGGACGCGATCTGTGGTTTCTTTAGCTGGAGGTGACCTCATAAGGTGGCGACATCAAACAGCAAGTTCCACCCTCCTGCCCACGCCAAGGGTCTCTTGGGGAAGCTGAGGACCACCCGGCTATTTCATGGAGTGACCAGGGAAATGGCAAATGAAGCATCCAGACCCTTCCCAGAATGGACAAGTCATCGCCAGTTCTCTTCCTGGGTCCTTCCAGCATCTGTAGGAGGCTGTTGCAAGGTGTGCTGCCTTCTGCTGCTCAGGTACGCACGGAGCAGAGCCCTTTGGGTGCAGAGCTGCCCCCGAGGCGATGTGTGTGCTGCAGGACCTGCTAGCTGGGGTCCGGCTCAGCCTGGGTGAACAGAGGACTTGGACGGGAGCAACAGCTTCAGCCAGGTCCATCTGGAAAAAAACAACAACAAAAAAAAGACAGCAGACTGTAAGAGCTCCCTCCAGCTCTGCTGTTGTTTCTTACAGGAGGAAGGACGTCAGGTTCTGTGCCTCCCTGCACAGGCTGCTGGGCAGCTGCAAATTCATGATGCTGATGGTCTGCATCATCTCCATCAACGCCGTCTCCTTGGCCAAGCAGACAACTGCCGCTGCTGGTTGCGCTGGGTACCGTTCTGGGGGTGAGGCACGGGGACAGGAGGGGAGGGATGGAGGGGATGGGGGTCCAGCCCCTGCAGCTGGTCAGGGTGGCTGCCAGCCCCCATCCCTCCCCGTGCCATTGCCTGCGCCAGCCCAGGGCCTGGTGAAATGCATTTCAGCTTCAGATCCCTTCATTTATTCAATAATTATAATTCTTAAAATGCAATTTTTCGGTCCTTTCCGTGGCAGCCCTTTCCCCCCTCACAGTTTTAGCACAGCTCGTTTTAAGCACCCTTTTAATACTCAATTTTCACATTGAAAAATCCCTCTTGGTCACACTCCTTGATTTCCTTGTCTTACACAAGCCAGCTACTGTATGCAAACCTCTGAGCCTTAATTATATATCCCAGTAATATATAGCCAGGCCTGGCTAATGTCAAGAAAGCCAGGCAGGAGCGTCGGAGGTTTCCGCGAGCTCTGGCTGCAGGAGCAGGCTCCGTGCGGGAAGCGAGCAGCACATGCCCAGCTCCGAGGGGTGGATGGGGTGCATGGTGCATTGGGATGTGGCCAGGACCCTCCCATGCTGGGCAGTGACCAGTGATGACGATGGCAGAGGGGTGAGCTGGGCTCACGTTTGAAATGGTCACCGTGGGCAAAGGGACATTATTGGGGGATGTTTAACATGAAAATTGGGGAAGCGCCAGCTCGGTGCTTGGGGTCTGGCAGCTGCAGGCAGCTGCCCTGGTTTGCTTGCTCCTCTCTCCAAGTCACAGATGCCTTCTGCATCGCTGTTTACACCACCGAGCTTTTGCAGAAGCTGTATGCACATCCCATTGCCCACTGGAAGGGCAGCTACAACATCTTGATGCTGCTGCCATCCTCATCACCTTCCTCCCGCAGCTCTTACCTGTGGACACCCCACGCACACCCACCTGGACGGGACCACCAAAGCTCTCCAGACCCTCGACGTGCCCAAGCTCATCAAGTGCAGCAGCGGGATGAGGGTGAAGCACTGCTCGCTGTTCAGTCCCAGCAGAGATGGGGGGTCCCAAGCCCAGGAGCTGGGGGAGGCTTTGCGGTACCCAGGTGTTGGGGGCTGCATGCCTGAGAGAGGCTGATGCTCGTGGTAGCTCATGACTAAAAGGCAAAACCAAATCATTCCTGGCTTTTTAAGAATCCCATGGCTTGGCCGTTGGTTCTTTCCCCTGTTTCTCCTTGCCCCAAGGGGAGGAAAGATTTTATTTTTTACTACAGCAGAGTAGACGCAAAAAAAAAAAAAAAAAAAAAAAAGAAACAACCCCTATAAACCATAGGTCACGTCCTATTCTTGGTCTGTGTGTATTTTTCTCTCCAGCACACCATCTCCTACTTAGTTTTCTCCTGACGACTCTGGAGGTTTGTTTTTCAGCAAGGAGCTTGTGTGCGCCACGAGTGCTCAGCCAGCGTTTCTGCGTGTGATTAATTGGCTGGGTAACCCACCAGAAGTGGGATGTTTATGGGCACAGGGCTCTTATAATGTTCACTTCTGAGCCTTCGTTCCCCTAGTTTGGATCATAAACTTCACTTATCGCCAGGCTTTTATATGTTAATTATTCTGTGTGGCTGGGAGAAGGGGCAGCGTGTAGAAGTGGGTGAAATAACGAATGGTTTGGGTATGGTGGAGCAGATGTTCATCTTTGGTTTGGCTGGTTACAAGAGAGGAAATTGATGTATGGCAAAACAGGGAAACATTTAAATCAGGGTAAGCGTGTGTTTGTTGGTTTGAGCCTCGCGCTGTGGAACTCACTGCCAGGAGATGCTTTGTCTGGGGACCACGAGGAAAAAAACCTGGAGGATAAGATTTGGCACCATTCCCCCCTGAGATGCTTAAAATGTTGAGGTGCTTTGAAAAAAATCCCACTCGGCACAAATCTGCAGGTTTAAGAGCCTAAATGTCTTTGAAAACCTTGGGCCGTGCAAGGTGGGACTTAACACCTAAGGGACTGGGGCCACTGGGAAATGGCATCCTGGCTTTGGGTGAGAATGCCTAGAATGGCATTATGGGGGGAAAAAATTACCAAAGAGAAAAATTCTTCAGGCTCTCACAGTGCCTTCCTCTTCCAGGGATACTATAAATATCCCGCAAAGCCCTGCCGCGTGCTGCTTCCCAGCTCCAGAGGTGTTTGGTCCTTGCCTTTGTGTCCTGACCCGAAGGGACAAGTGCCCTGAGCCGCTTGGCATCCCAAGAGACAACATGTCTTTGCCTAAAATTTGGTTTAAAGTGTGATAGGACTGTCTAAATGCATTTTGCTGAAGGTGCGGGAGGCTGCTTATGCCTCTGTGTGTATTGTAGTTTATTAATTGAAGCCTAAATTAGCCCTCAACAGGTTTGCAGTATTTAACGCAGAGAGCTCAAACGTGCAACACATTCTTGGCACGTTTCCCTTTATTAATTAAAAACCTCTTTAAAACACTCTGCCTTCCACCTTGGAGCAATAAATTTCCACCTTGAGGAAATAATTTCCTTGTTGTATTCCATACAGAGACGTTCTGTTAGCTGCAATCCCTGTTTGAGGGTAGGCCCCATTCATCCTTATTTCAATTTCAAAACAAACTTTAAAAACGCCAGGTTGTTCTGTTAAAAAAAAAAAATTAAAAAAAAATTAGACTTTTCTGCTTTTTTAAAAATATATTTGGGATTAATTCCAATGTAGTTTACTACCTGTGCAGACTGTAAACCACAAAGCTCCTTCTTAATAAAAGCTCATAGGACTCCACGGCGGTTCCTGAAGCAGCTGGAGAAGCCTTGGCCATGGAAAAGGAGGCGATGGTCCTGCACGGGAGGCACTCCCC